ACATTGCATTCATTTTTGATCCTCACAACAAACCCAGGGAAAATGTACACAAGGTATATTATAGGTGAGGGAACTGAGTCAGAGGACCGAAGTGACCCCTGACCAGTGGAATGGAAACTAGATTTGGGTCCTTGAGACTTCCAATTCCCAGCTTTTTCCACACCATCCTGTTTCTTTGAACCGCTTGCCATCCCTGAAACAGCTATTTATTATGGGCAGACCAGTAAATAATCTGGGATGTGTATGTCAGCATTTATTTATTCCCGGAATTCAGCCCAGGGGGCCCCTCCCATCTCTTCACAAATAAACAATGAAATGAAGTTGGAGGCCAACAGAATGGACAATGACAATATGTTGCATTAGCAGCTTTGATGGCCAGACTCCAAGATGGCCCCCGGCCGTCCTTACCCCTGGTGTTCATGTTCTTGGACTCCTTCACTGAATAAGGCTCGGCATGGGACTGACAGAACATCGCAGAAGTGATAGTACAGCACTATCACTTGTGGTAGTGCTATACTATCACTTCTTCCGCTAGCTGCGAAGAGCGCTGCACTTTCTGTCATGTTCTCTTGGGTCACTGGCTCTGGGGGAAGCCGGCACAGTGTTGTAAGGACACATAAGCAGCCCACCAGGCAAAGAGCTGAGGCCTCCCTGCAACAGCCAGCACCACTTGTCAGCCATCTAAGTGAGCCACCTTGGAACTGGATTCTCTAGTTCCATTCAAACCTTCAGGTGACTACGGCCTTGCCTGACATCCAGTTGGAACCTCATGAGAAACCCCAGGCCAGAATCACCGAGTTAAGTGCTACCAAACTCTTGACTCTGTGAGAGTGTCTCAAACCATGAGAGAGAACTAAGGTTTGTGTTGTCTTAAGCCACTAAGTTTTGGGCAGTTTGTTACACAGCAGCTGCTCCATATAGGCTGCGCGTGATCTTAAATACAGAGAGGTGTTGGGGACTTAAGGGAGCATTTCAAGTAATTGTTTATTGTTGTTGTTTTGTTTTTGCTTTCCACCAAGGAAACTCAATTTCAAGTCAAGGTTCTGAAGCTTTGTACAATATAACTTTTGAAATGCGTTTTGTTCTTAATGCTTTCCTAAATGACCTGTTGTCCATGGAAAAGAGCACTCTGTACTGAGTGCATTTGCAACTCTGGAGGGCAAGGCAGCTTGAAGTGGAATTCACTTTGGCACGGCGAAGTCACCTCAGCCCTCTAGACCCCACTTTCACTGTTATCTTTCATTCTTTTGGGTTTCTGGGCCATGGCATCTTTCCCCTTTGGGAAAACCAGGACAGTGGAAAATAATGAAAGACATTAATTAGGAAGGGAGGGGGCTAGGGACCCATTGGATGTTGGGGGTGGAGATCTTAAGATCACTTGCCAAACAACAGCCCCAGTACCCCTTGGGGGACTGAGCCATGACCCCTTCTCCTGGTGTCCCCGCCCGCAAAATTCGCTCCTAGAAAAATCCGCTCACGTCCCCAAGAGCGCAGGAGAGGATCTCAGCGAAGCGGGAGGCTCTTGTGCCTGCTGGGAGAGGCGGAGCTGGGATTAACCAGCTCCTTGGCGCTTTTCCTCCGAGCTGGGGGAGGCCGAGCACGGACCGCGGAGTAGGCGCCCAACGTGGGGCGCCCGTACGCTGGCGGAGGAGACCCGGAGGTGGGAGAGCCGGCTGCAAACCTTGCCCCGCGGCCGCTACCCGCGCCCAGCGCGCACTGCCACCGAGCGCCGGCGCCTCCAGCATGGAGTGGGAGCTCAACTTTCTGCTCTACCTGGCGCTCTTCTTCTTCCTGCTCTTCTTACTTTTCCTCCTGCTCTTCGTGGTCATCAAACAGCTGAAGAACTCTGTGGCCAGCACGGCCGGGGCGCTCCAGCCCGGGCGTCTCTCCGTGCACCGGGAGCCTTGGGGCTTCTCCCGCGAGCAAGCGGTGTGACCCGTAAGGCGCGGGCACTAGCGGGAGGGCACGGAGCTGCGCGGGCGCCGGGCTGGGTCTCAACCTCGATTCCCTGTGCGCGTGGCCGCCCAGGTCCAGTGCCAGGCTCGGTTGTAGCGCCGGCAGGTTCGTTCGGGTGTGGAAGGGGTCTGCGGAGGGGCGAGTTTCTCCCCGCCTCGGGGTGGTTCTGGGCTCGAAGCACGCTCGGTTGCCAGGCGCGGCGCGTGTATGGGGTCTGGGCTGGCGCTGTGCTCTTGGGGACCGACCCGCAGCTTTTCCGGGGTGGTGAGAGATGGAGAAAGAGAGATGTTCAGCGGTTGGAGCCGGAATGGCTTTGGGCACCTACAAGCTCTTCTCCCCAGTCCCACTGCATTTTAGCTTGTGCGGAAAGGATGGAAAACTAAATCATTCAGATAATTCAGTCCAACCACTTCCAAGACAAATTTGATATCCCAAATCGAATGTCAACCTTAATGTCCAAATTACTGAGAAAGTGTGGGCTTTGGGACAGGAAGCAGGAGGAAACAGTATGCCAAATACTGCTTTAAATATCTTTGCGCTTTGGCAGACGCTAAATGGGGTTCGTCTGACCCTGCCAGAGAGGATTCAGTGGCCCTTCTTCCCCTTAATCCCTACTCCTCTTCTAGCCACCGACCCCATTGATGCCTGCTGAGTTGCCACACCAGGTGGGTTTAGAATCTCAAACGGAGGGAGGGTGAGCGTTAGCGAGTCATTTGGGAGATGCCTTGGGGGTGATGGAAAGTGGTACACTGTTCACACGTTGTAGGGCAACAGGAAGAAGAGGAGCAAGGCTGTCGTTTCAGGTTTACGTGATTAGACCATTTGCCAGAAGACTGGCGGGCAGCATTAAACTTCTTATTAATGTGCCCTAAGCACCCTCCAGGCACTGTCAGTTTGGGGGAATAACAGTTTCATCTTCCAGATGCTTTTTCCTCGATTTATGTCGTCTCGAGTTCTGGAACCGAGCTGTTGCCCTGGGTTGGTGCGCTGAAGACCACCACTGCAGTTACAGCTGGTAAGGGGCAGCCCCGCACGGAGAGGACCGGGACAACCCTAGACGGACCTTTGCTGCAAATGGTAAGCGGGGACCACCCTTGATTTCACTTTGTCCCTGGTTGTAGCTGAACTTCTGAAGACCCAGAGCCTAAAAAAGTGAGAGGTTAAGATCGTGGAAACGGATCTTAGGATCCTAGGACCTAGGATCTTAGAACCGATGAACTTTCTACTAAAACTGGAGGAGGCGAACTGATTTCAACTAAGTGCAAGAATCAGTGTCTATGCAGAGGAGCCTAGAAATTAGAATGGGACGTGAGGAGTGTTTACAATTGTAATCATCATTTTGCTCTTCTGGAAAACAGTGCAGGGGGTCTTGGAGTTGAAATTCGGAATGCAGATATACTTGGCTTCAGTAAGGGAAGATTTGGGTTCAGTCACGTTAAGGTGGGATGAACTGTCCATGTCATGACTGAATATTGAAAATATTTATTAATTTTAGGTACAAGGACCATGTAGAGAGGATAAAAACAAGAAATACTAAGTTTTGCCTAAGTGGATAATACGAAAGTGACGTGGAAGACAATTATTTTGACAACTCTAGGGAAGGAAAAAATACTCTCATGTAGGTAAATGGGAAAATTTTTTTTGGCTGAGACATTCAGATAATTTCCCACATTTCTATTTCACTTTTCTAGAACAGCCCTGTTTTAAATGAAGTATAAGTGTGTGTGTATATATATTTCTCTCTCTGCATATAGAAATACATATGTAATTCTCTCTATATAAATATATGTAATTCTATATCTCTATTTATCTATCCATACTTCTCTTTATCAGAGCTATGGTACGACTTGTTTTGAATTTCCAGTTTGAATCCCAGAATCAACTGCAGTGACTCTATCTTGTATTTTGAGCAATAGTTCTCTAATTGATTGACACCCCTGCAGTAGCATTTAGTTATTGGGTTGCATGGTTAATATGGACATTGAAGATGAGTGGGGAGAGTAGTTAATTAGCCATGATTTTTTTACAAGGGTAGAAAACAATCACTTCATACTTTATAAATCACCAGAAGGCAAATTATTTTAAACACCTCCGTGACTTCTTGAGTTTGTAATCCTTTAATCTTCCCAGCAGTGCCTCTGGTGTCCAGAGGTTTAAACCCTCCTGACTCTTCTAGAGAGGAGACTAGAGAACTCAGGGTGAGTAGTTTGCTGCCGTCCCTGTATGAAGCCAAGCTCTGGGTGGTTCTACTGACTCTGCTCCCTGTGAAAGGGTGGTTACTTTTCTATCTTGTGCCCATGCCATTTTATAACCTCCTTGTAATCTAATTATTAGTTACTAAGTTCCCATTTGTCTAGGCCAAAAAAATGAATATTTATTCCTGTTATTTAATCTCTCCTTGAAACTTGGCCCTAAACTCTGGAAATTAAGGTCCCTCACATTTGCTCTCAGAACGTGCTGCTGTTGATCTTCTGCCTTGCCCTTGCTTGGTTAGGCACTCTGCTTTTGAAACTGGGACACCCCGTACATGAGCTGCCTTTTTCTATTGTTTATTCAATCCTCATTTTTCCAAAACTCAGCAAAGACCAGTCTTCCAAATAAGAACTACTTTTGAACTCACTTTTGTTTTTTTTGTTTTTTTTTTTTTGCTACTGGTATGTTCTTGATCTAATGCTCTGACACCCACCAGGGTCTAAGTTCCCAGTTTGTTCATGTTGGCTGTTCTATCCACTGACCACATTCTGATCCTGACTATCACTAAATGAAGTCTATTTCTGAAGATGGTATGCATGTGGGCTAGACATGAAAACATTTGAAAAGTCAGGAACATTTAAAATAACTGCTGATCATATAATTTGATTATAGAAGATTCTTATCTTCTATTTTCAATAAAAGGTTTTTAGTGATTCTTCAGTGATGCTAGAAGCCTAGTTGAGTGTCTTATGTCATGAGGAAATAGGCCATAAATCAATTATTAGGAAATATTAGTATTTTATTTCAAGTGTTCTTATTTCAGTGTTGTCTCTAAATTTCGGTTATTTGAAATGACTTTAAATCTTATTAGGATAATCTTGATTGTCTCGCTGATTTCCAAACCTGTAAGTGCAATGAATCAGTGGTTCCACTTGGAAAGAGAACCATGTTCAGTTGAATGAGAACAACATCACACACCTGCAAAATCTGAAATGTCTAATAAAGTAGATTCCTATGTCTGAACTTCAATTTTAGGGCACAGCTGTAGATGCAGGACTGATGCCATCTGGTGCAGTTCCACAGAAGAAGAGATAAAATTTACCCAGAGTGTGCCATGCACTGGCTTTTCTGGGAATGACAAGGTGCCAGGATTTGTTTTTGGTTCATTCGCGGGGGTGGAAACTTGGAACGAGGTGAGTAAAATAGATGCAATAGCCCCGTTTATAGCTTATATATTTTATCTTTTATATTTCCAATTCTGTTTATAGTGTCAAAATAAGTGCGAAAGAGTTCATTTTTTTTAATGGCCCAACATTTTAACATTGTAAATAGTTAAACCATTTAGGATAGGGGGAAATGTTTACTTTTTCTAACTCATACCTACTAATTTAGGGACTTTTAGAATGCTAGTGGTACTAATACAGTACATAGAAAATATGTACAGAGTACTGTACTTTGGTTTTAATTTTTATAGCTACTTTGAGGTAGTTGTGCTTATTTAAGCTAAAATCACAAGGAAAACTCTGGTATCATTAGGAAATCACTGTCAGGTGTCTGTGTCACATACAAGGGAAAGCTAAAAACTGAGTTGCAGATCTCTGAAGTTAATTTGGCGGGGGGGTTGAATCAGTGAAATCAATTCTCAACACTACATTTCTTACTTTGTCCACACAAAATAAGATTATAGATTAAATAGTGATCTGATTAATTATCTGAGTAGTTAGCATCTTACTCCATAGGAATGTGGGCAATCAGGGCAGGCCTGTGCTTAGAACAATAGTGAGAACATAATAGGCATTCAGAAAAAACTTCCTGATGAAGTAAGCTAAAAATCCTCTTGTTTTCCTTAATAGCAGCTATTTTATGTAATAAACGTAATCATTTCTCCCACTGTTGCACTGTGTAGACATGGGTAGGTTGAAGTTAAAATTTTTATACTTTTGTTTTATTAGTATGACTCTATGAAATTACTTGAACTTTATTGAATATATATGATTCTTCAGGCAAGTGTTTTTACAGTAAGATGGAAATCTTGCTTTCCTATTGGGAATCAAGATGAATGGCTACCTCAGTAATAGAGTAGGAAGTTACTGGACCGAACAGTAGCTTAAACAAAGTAGGAGCTTTGTTTTGTTCTCATGTGACAAGGAGGTTAGGGGTAAACTATTGCTGGTGTTGGTTCAGCAGCTCACAGATGTCAGGGTCAAGGTAGCCCCTGAGGTTTCCTTGGCTTTTCCCTTAGGTTCCAAGATGGTTGCTGCAGCTCCCCAAGAAGATGAAGGAAGCTGAAAGGGAAAACAGGGCACACCATTTTGATTCTGCTTCCTTTTAAAGAGCTTTCTCAGAAGCCCAACAACTTTTACTTACATCTCATTGGCCAGACTGTGTCATATCTGCGAGGTTGCATGAGAAACGTAGTTTTTGTAGTTGGACAGATGATTGCCTTCAACACAAAAATCTGAGGAAATCTAAGGAAAAAAGATGATGGTGGATCTTTGGGGAACAAACTAGCAGTCTGTGCCCTGGTTACAAAATACAGTTGTCAAGGAGCATAATGATTGAAACAGATCAAAATTGTAACTCCTTCACAACTAATAGTACTCCAAGCAACACTGCTCTGCCCAGAGAGTGAGCAGAGTGAAGATATCCTAGGTTTTTTCTTGAAACACCTGCCAGAACTGGCTTTCGCAGTCAGCCGATATGCTTGCCCCACATCAGGATTTTCTAGAGGAGGACCCTGGGAACCTTACACTTCCTTGGAGGACATAGTCTATGGAAGTTTGGAACAGGATAAAGAAGGCTGTACCTTGCCGCTTTCCCATCTGCTTCATGTATCTCTAATTTTCCTTATAGATTTTTGGTGGAGTTTAGTTTGTTTGATCCCCAGAAAAGGATCATCCCGTCCATACCTAGGAAAAAGTAATCTATGTAAAGAAAGGCTACTTTACTCACTTCTGTGACACCACCACCCATCTAGGAATATCCTGGGAGAAGACTTGCTTCTCAAAGCTGCTTCCATAATCAGCCTACATCCTGCCTAAGCAAAGGAAGAAGAAACACTTCCCACATCCAGGGCTGTCCAAAAGAACTTTCTGTGATGACAGAAATGTTCTATATTTGCACTGTCCAATATGGTAGCCACTAGCCATGTGTGACTAGTGAACACTTGAAATGTGGCTAGTGTGACTGAGGAAATAAATTTTAATTTTATTTAATTTTAAATAATTAAAATGTAAATAGCCATATGTGGCTAGTGGCTGTTGTATTGTACAGCACAGTATACAATTTTCTTTTTCTTGCGTTTTCCAACTGCCTGGGAGGGGTTTGAGCCAGTCATGTGCTTGGTGTTCCATCGTCTTCACTATTCCACCTTGCCATTGAACTTGTGTCCCAGAGAAAAGGAAAAAGAGTATCCTAGAACTAAAGTCAAGATGTTAACTTGACATCTATACACTGTATGGATTTCTGTATAAATGGAATGATCCCCTGAGAATGGGTCCTGTGATTGATGTTTGTGATAATTGATGGTGGAGAAATGGCGGTGGTGCTGGTCCACTTACCATTCCTAGTGAACATTATGCATTCCTAGTCGGAGTGAGTCAGCAGGAATCATTTTGTTCTGTTGTGCAATTCGTTCTGGTTTACTTTTGTAATATTGTGGCTGCTAAGTGATTATTCCACGTGTGTTTTTCAAAATACTTAGTGGTTTATATTTTTTAAAAGGCTGTGAAATAAAATAATTATATGTAACTCAGTTTTTTGTGTGTGTGAATTATTCTTACCCATAATTTTTAAAGAGTTAATTAGGACAAGGTTAATGGATAGAAGGAAATATTTATTATTTATTTATTTATTTTTAAAGATTTTATTTATTTATTTGAGAGAGAGAGAGCAAGAGAGAGCAGGAGCAGGGGGGAGGGGCAGAGGGAGAGGGAGAAGCACACTCCTTGCTAAGCAGGGAGCCTGATGTGGGACTCAAATGCAGGACCCTGGGATCATGACCTGAGCCAAAGGCAGATGCTTAACCAACTGAGCCACCCAGGCACCTGAAAATATTTATTTTTATATCAGATTTTTTGATGGGCATGTCTGTATGTCAATGTTATGTTTTAAAAATATTAAATAATATTTTCATCATATTCAGAGTTTGGGTAAAATATGAGGGTGGTAATTGTATTGGGGTAATTTTTTCCTCAAGTGTCTGGTTGTTTTTCTATCTTAAACATCACTTGGATCTTGTTTCTCTATAGTGCCCTGTCTGGGGTTATTTGTCTTTTGTTTTTGAGTTAGAGGAATTCTTGATATATTCTAGACACTATTGATTTTCGACATATGTGCTTTACAGCAATTTTCTTCTAGTTTGTGGCTAGCCTATTCATTTTCTTAGCAATGTCTTTAAAAGAGGTATTTTAAATTTTGAAGTTAGATTTATCCACTTTTTTTATGTTTATTGCTTTTTGTGCCCTCTCTAAGAGAATCTTGCCTATCTTTTAGGTCACAAAAATATGCTCCTGTACTTTTTTCCTATACTAGAAGCTTTATAGTTTTAAATTTTACTATGTCTGTTGTGCATCTTAACTTAATTTTTGTGTGAGATACGAGGTAAGGATTAAGATTCTTTTTTCCCCTATATATAAAAACAGTTTTCCACCCATTTGTTGAAAAGACTTTTCCCTCTCCATTAGATTGCTTTGGCATCCTCTTCAAAAAATAAAATGACCATATAAGTGTGGGACTAGTTCTGGGCTCTCTATTCAGTTCCATAGGGCCATTCTCATCCATTACAACACTGTCTTGATTCCTGTAGTTTCATAGTAAGTCTTGGTATTCACTACAGAATGTTATTGAATCTGAACTTTTATAATAAACTACTAAAGTCTGCATCTACACACAAAAAGAGGCTTCAGTAATTTCAGTTGAAAATGGTCAAATTCAATAAGGTCAACCCTACCCCAATACCATGCTTCTTTTATTCTCAATTCTAGTTCCACCCACAATCTGAAATCTGGACTTAGGGTAGCACTTGGTGAAAACATATGTGCTTGTGTTTCTACATATCTAGATAACTGGGAAATATCTTACATTTCTGGTACTACAGCTGAGAGCAAATTATACTTTATAAAAGGTACTTTTTGCAGGAAAGCTAAGTGATACAAAAAACAAAGCAGAGAAGTTCATGTGTTGCTAATGTCCCATCTTTGTTACTAATGTAGAATTAACCACAGATTGAACTGCCTGGCTCAAGTATTAGGACATCCGTTTTGATGTTTTCCCCTCACCTCAGTGGTAATCTGATATTTGAATATTTGGATATCTGATCATGCTTTTTAGAAATTTAGCTAGGATCGTTTGATTGGCACCAAATTACTTCTCCTGCCCCATTTTTACCTGCATGCAGTTTTTCCAGATACACTACTTCTGTCCTTTATGCATCTCAACTTGGAACTCACTGCAGAGTCTTGACCCATTAGAGGAAACATGAATGGTCTCCTCCATCTCCAACTATGTCAGCTCACTGCCTCCTGGGAGCTAACAGTTGTTAACAGTTTGAAGTATATCTTTTGAAATGATTTTCTGTGTATTTGCCATGCATAGTTATCCAGTCACATTCACATTTGCATGCAGATACACAGAAGGTTGTTTTTTTTTTTTAACATAGATGACATCAGACTATAGATATTCTGCAATTTGCCTTCTTCTCTAGTATGTTGTGGCAGGTTGTATTTTCCAAAAGATGGCCAGAACAGCGTCTCCCATTTCACATGCTTTTACAATATGATTTGACATTGAGTGGGAGAGTCTATACCCCCTCTCCTTGAATTTGGGCAGGCTCGTGACAACGGAAAGGTGCAGAAATGAACTGTCTGACTTATGAAGCCAGGTCAGAAAAGCAGTGCAGTTTCCCCATTGTTTGATGGAATACCTACTTTTGGAGCCTTGATTTACCATGTAAGATGGAATTATCCTGAGGCCACCATCATTCTCTGAAGAAGCCCCATGCAGAGAGGCCCTGTGTAGGTCCTCTAGTGCAGAGCCCCAGCTAATGAGTAACTCCCAGGTGTTGAGTCCTCCCAGTTGAGGCCCTCAGCTTTATGGAGTAGACACCAACCGTTCTCACTGCACCCTGTCTGAATCCTAATCGTTTTAAGTCACTAATTTTGAGAGAGTTTGTTACAGCAATAGTAACTGGAACATATGTTTTAAAAGTTTTAATGAAAATAAAGTCATCTTTATTGTTTAAAATTGTTGTAGAGAATCCTCAGCAATTTATTTAACAGATGAACTGTGGATGAATATTAAGTTTGTTGCAAATTTTTCTTAGATTGTATTCACAGAAGTATGATTTCTGGGTCAACTGGTTTGGAAATCTCAGTCTCCATCCTAAATGTGCCAGAATATATCTATCCACTTCTCCACAATATTTGACATTATGGGTCTTTAAAAAAAATCGCCATTATAAGAATAAAAAAACCAATAAAACCTTACAGGTTTGATTTGAAAAATTATGAGGGAGTTTGTTCCTCTCTCTCTCTCTCTCTTTTTTTTTAAGGGTGGGGGTGTAGAGAGAGAGGGAGAGAGAAAATCTTAAGCAGGCTCCACACCCAGCATGAGCCCAACGTGGGGCTTGATCTCAGGACCCTAAGATGATAACCTGAGCTGCAATCAACAGTCGGACGCTTAACTGAGCCACCCAGGCACCCCTGTTGCTCTTATTTTATGTTTATTGGCCATTTATTTATTTATTTATAGATTTTATTTATTTATTTGAGAGAGAGAGAGAGTGAGCATGAGTGGGAGGCAGAGGCAGAGGGACAGAGAGAAGTAGACTCCCCGCTGAGCAGGGAGCTGAAGCAGGGCTCCAATGCAGGACCCAGAGATCACGAACTGAGCTAAAGGTAGATGCTTAAATGACTGAACCACCCAGATGCTCCTTATTGGCCATTTTCATTTCCTCTTCTCTATGTGCCTATTCAAATCCTTTACCCATTTTTAATAGGTTGCTTGTCCTTTCATAAGTAATTTATGTATAATACAGATATATAATGACTATAGTACAGATATATAATGAATATCTCTATCGGGTGGCCATATATATAAAATCAGTAAATATATACATACAGTTATTAGTCATTTGTTGGAAGTTGAAACTGTTTTCTCCTAGTGAGTTGTGTATGTTTTAACTTTGTCTTTTGTTTGTTTATTATTTATTTATTTTCCAAATTTTAATTTAAATTCTAATTAGTTAACATACATTGTAACATTGGTTTCAGGAGTAGAATTTAGTGATTCATCACTTCCATATAACAGCCAGTGTTCATCACAGTGAGTGCCCTCCTTAATACCCATCACCCATTTATCTCATCCCCTACCCACCCCCCTCCATCAAACCTCAGTCTGTTTCCTAGAGTTAAGAGTCCCCTCTGAGGGGCGCCTGGGTGGCTCAGTTGGTTAAGCGTCTGCCTTCGGCTCAGGTCATGATTCTGGAGTCCCTGGATCGAGTCCCGCATCGGGCTCCCCGCTCAGCGGGGAGTCTGCTTCTCCCTCTGACCCTCTCCACTCTCATGTGCTCTCTCTCTCTCAAATAAATAAATAAATAAAATCTAAAAAGAAATAAAAAATAAAAAACAAGTGGCTACCAATAAATATTAAAAAAAAAGAATCCCCTATGATTTGCTACCCTCTTCCTCCCTTTCTCTCTCTCTCTCTTTCTTTCTTTCCCTCACTTTCCTCCCTCCTTCCCACCCTCTCTCCCTCCCTCCCTCCACCTCTCTCTTCCTTTCCTTTCCTTTCTTTTTTTTCCCTTCCCATATGTTCATCTGTTTTGTCTTTTAAATTTCACATATGAGTGAAATCATATGGTATTTGTCTTTCTCTGACTTAATTCCCTTAGCATAATACCC